AAATAGCCTTTTATCAAATCTAAGCCCAACTTTTTCTCTGTGCCCAAAGAGCTTCCAATCGATAGACAGCAGACATGCCCATGTATAAAGCGTGCAGATGATTGCGTGTGGACCTTCACGTAGTAGATCCTTCTGATTAACGTTGTGCTAAAGACTACTCTATTTGCATGTCTAGGGGAGCATAAATCAATAGTTCTAGAACTTGGTGGCTGTGGGAACAATTTTTCAGATGAGAGCACCGACACAGCCCAGAATTAGTGTTTGGAGAAGAGTCTTCTGCCCAGAGCCTGTGTCTTAACACTTCAGCTTCAAATTTGAAGAGCTGACACTATGACACAGAAGATTACTTAATTGCCTGGGAAAGGATACGGGATTTTAAGTTGGAATAATTCTGCAAACTTTCTGGCCCTCATCAGTTAAAACACTTGTGACTAGTCAGTCAGCTCCACTCATGCAGATTAATGAAACACCGCATTGTCCAGCCACATGCTCCCACAGCACAGGGGGTAGAAGGAATTACGTTCTCAGCAGCTGTTCCCAGGAATGTGCGCCTCCACGTACCCATGGGCAGGGAGAGGACCAACAGTGGACTCTGAGCGCTGACCCTTCACCTATCCCGGCAATGCTGACCTCCCATAACAGGAACCGGTCTCCTCTCAGCCCAAGGAAGGTCCCAGATTGAAATAAAAATTCATCCTTGAAGACAGATGAACCCAAGGGACGCCAGCCAAACAACGCTAATGTCAAGAGGAAATCCCATCTGCAGACTGCTCAGAGAAGCCTTGCTCAGCCTGCAGAACAAAGGCTCCTTCTGTGACACCAAGCAGCAGGTTTAAGAGTGTTGGGCTCCTCACTTTGGCTACTTTTCAAACCACAAGTATATCCAAGGGCAGCCAAGATAACAACAGAGCCAAGAGATACGGGTCTCGGAACAAGGAGACCAGTTCCCCTTCCAGGCCCGCCTTCTGCCTGCTCTTGGCGGCCAAGGCTCTGGCCTCCTCAAGGGGGGTGTCTGAGACGCTGCAGTCAGACCCTGGGGACTGAAGTGTTCATGCGAGAAGATAACTCAGAGGATGCCCATTGCAGAGCCAGCCTTCTTGCAAGGCTACAGAGCACAGTGTTTGGGGAAGCCACTATGACAGTTTCTGAGTCCTAATCCTAGCTCAGTCACACAACAGGGTCTAATCTTAGGTGCCTCAACCATTCAATCCCTGAACCATTGAGCTGTATTGATGACTACCTGATGCTGCTGCTAATGATGAAATCTGCTGTCACATAGGGTTATGATGTTCAAACAAGATAACTTATGAACAGGAAGATATTTTATAACTATAAAATGTAAGGGAATAATAATTCATGTGACTATGACACACGTTTATATGACAGCTGCAAATTGTTAGGTCAAAAGGAAGACTTCCTCTGCTTTGCCTGGGGCCTTCCACAGGGTCGATATTTACTTAATATTCAATCATAAAGGTGACTTTAGTGATTAACAAAGTAAACAAATTTGTTGGAAAAACAGCAAATTTGCAACTTAGAATATTTCACAAGACAAGGAGGTGCTGTCTGGAGCACTTCCCTCTGAGTATAGGCAGGCCCACATGAGGAGTTGGGGGGGGGTTACTCCCCAAGATGGCTCCACCATCGTCATGCCAACCCCAAGTGTGATGGAATGGAAGGCTTGCAGGCTTGGCATCTGGGCAAGTTGAACTTCAGCTATTCTTAGCTGAAGTTAACCCCTGAATTCACACTGAAAAGAAATAAGACCAAAAGAGTTTATCTGAAACAAGGCAAAAAAAAAAAAAAAGAAAGAAACCAATAATCTTGTTAAAGGTAGACCTAACTAGTCTTAGGTCCCTAGAGTCAGGGATTCAACTCTAAAACACACACGGCTCCCAGCTTCCAGCGGTGAGTGAACCAGGGTGGTGGGTCTCACAGCTCTGCCGGGCTGTCAGAGCTGAGTTAGGAATAGAAATGCTGTTTCTCTCTCGAGGTAATTCTGTCCAGCACCTTAGTCACACTTCCCACTCTAGAGGCTCAGGTTCTCATTCAAACAGCCTGTGCCCAGCTTTTCACTTTCACAAAATGTTACTTGTTGACACTCTGACTTGTTCCAAAAAGTAACTGAGGCAGCTCATAATCTTATTAGGAATACTTAGAAGGATTTAGGGAGGGAAAAAAAAAAAAGAATATAAGGTGCTTTGAAGTCCTCAAAACTGAGAACAACTCAGGATATTTTTAAGATGTGTCAGGTAAACAAAATACATTAACAATAAGGCTGCAGAGTGGGGGAAGAGGACTTTAGATCCTTTGACACTCAGCATAATTTTGAAGGATGTGCATTACTTCCTGTGCTGACCTTTAACAATAAGGTATTTTAAGTTAAGAAAAAAACACGTGGATTTAGATGAACGTAATTCTGAATCAGAAACAAACCTAAACCAGCAGTACTTGTTAAGGCTTCCACAGCCTGGACTTTAAACTCATGACTTGTGTCCACCTCCGATAAGATCTGAGATCTGATCTATGTCCATGTTAGTTTTCCCGTTAAAAAGCTTTGAATTGCTGGCAGGTTGACAGCCTGGGCCTCAGGAGTTTATTGAGAATCTCCTCAAGCTACAAAGGGTGACTCCATTACTACTCCCAGCTCCTGGAAGATCCCCCTGGTAAGAGCAGACACCTAGCCTGGACTCTGTGAACCATCTCCATGTGGTAGCCCATGGATATCTAGCTCAATATAGAGTTTAACTTAATAAATAAAAAGTGGCCACAGGAAGCCAGGTAATAGCGGTTCTGACTCCAGCCTGGGCTTAATTCTGGCTAGCTAGAAGTTATTTTCCTTTGCTGCCTCATAGCCCCCTTAAGACAGGGCAGTGACGGCTCTGCATCTGCATCGCAGTGCATCAGGTGCCCATGATGTGATATCAACATTACCGTGCACAGGTGTGAGCTTCCATGCGCACCTGTCATCAGCAGACCACCCACCTAGACTCTGCAGAGCAGAACCATCTGATGCCCAGAACACCCTGGGAAACTGTGGGGTTTGATGTCAGAAACACTGCAGACTCTCCAGTGCTTTCTCCAGAAACTATCTGGGCTTCCACTTATCTTCTCCTATAATACTGCAATTATACAACTCATTCTGAACTCTTGCCTGTCTAGTCCTTTCCCAACCTGCGTACTATTTGTCTCTCAACATGCCACACTCCAGCCACAGGTCACCCTAGATTGTTTTGGGTTTTTCAAACATGTTCCCACCCCCGGTTCCTTGCACTTGTTCTTCCTATGCCTGGACAGCCTTCCACTGACTCCTCTCCTCAGAGACCGTCCACTCTATAAAAAAATATAACCCCAATAAATCTCCAACATATTACTGTTTCCCCTATATCACTGACTATAATCTGCCATTGCCTTGTTTATTTACTTGTATTTATTATCTGGATCCTTCATTACAATGTTTGCTCTGGGAGGACACCATTTCTCACGTTCCACTGCTATCGTGTCAGGGCACATATTTCCCCACCCTGTAAGAGGGCAATGATTTGATAGCTAAAATGTCGACTATGTCAGACCAGCCCTTTAGTTAAGATATTCAAAGGATATGGGCAGAATTTTCCTGGTGAAGCAATAGTGCTTACAAAATCAACATATTCTAACTAACACAGGTGTTCAATATACAGGTATTGAACAAATAAATGAGCTAGGACCAAAGCAGTTTTCTTTGCTACCGGGCTGGACAGAGAGAGAGATGTCAGGAGATACAGCAGAAGAAACCATCCCCCTGCTTACCGACAGCATTGGCTGCTGGTCTTGTTCAACAGAAAACGGGGTGCAGCGGTCCTAAACCAGCTCCACCAGCAGGGTCACAACTAGGCCCATTTCAGACCCAAAGAAAAAGCCTTTACGACCAGGAGGCTTATTTACCCAGGTCCCTGGTGGACAGAAGAAGAAATCAATTCCTGTTCTAAGGTATTCTGAAGCTGACTTGATGATGGATCCAAAACCAAACAAAATTTTATTTCAGCTTGTTGACAACTAAACACAGGTATCCCCACTTTTTAAAGTGCGCTTGACAACACTTTGCTTTTACAAAACAACCTACATTAGTACTTGATTTCACTAACAAAAGTCTAAAGAGGAATTTTGCTTTTGTGGAAAAAGGTGAAATAACGAAAACAGCGTTCAGCGTCTGTTTTCAGGAAGCTGTTGCACAGGCGGTGCACACGCAGGGCAGCAAGAGTAGCACCACCAAGTTCCCTCCAGAACTTTCACGCAGCATCTCAGTGTCAAGTCACCCTGGCCCTGAGCTGTCCATGAGCATCTGTGCTTTATCTCCATTAGTTTATGCATCCATTAGTATGATGTGTCCTAGGGTAACTACTTCTTCACACCATCTCAGCTTATGGAAGGTTTCATAGGCATGCTCTGGACAATGGGGATGCCTACACAATTATAGACATCCTAATTATAGAAATCCTGGCATCTCTATAGAAATGGACGGATGCAGTTCATAATCTGATGCAAAAAAAAAAAAAATGCTGTGGTTCCTTCTGTGGGATTTAATGATACAGGAAGCTGACCATAAAATACTCTTAATATTCTCCAAATTGGATGATATTAAGAAACGGTTCTTTTTTTACATGTTAGTTTTTTATGCTGTAGCTATATGTTTTTTAAAATAAGAGTCCTTGTCTTTGAAAGACATATACCAAAATATTCACAGATAAAATGAAGTCTGAGATTTGCTTCAAAATAATAACAGAGCACAATAAAGCTTTGCCTGAAAGCAATAATAATACCAAAGGAAGGAAAGAGGGTGGGGTACAGACGAAGCAGCCAACCACGAGTTGATAACCGTTGAAGCTGGGTGAAGGGTCCATGGGAGTTAACTAAACTATCTGCTCTACTTTGTGTATGTTTGATATTTTTCCTAAAAAGAGACTTTTTTTTTAAAGCCCTTTCAAACAAATCATTTTCATTTGTGAAATTAAAGAAGCTACCTGAAGGTGAAGGCTTCACCTTTCCAGTCTTGCAGGGGCTGCTCCTGGATGATGTCATGGCTCAGAGGTGAGTGCTGCCGTGGGGATCTGGAATGGGGGAGGGTCCCCACATGACTGAAGTTATCACAGGACCTGATGGGAGGAGGGCCTTTCTTCTTCCGGGGAAGGGTGCCATGTATAGACACGTCTTGATAGGCATCTGCACGACGCTCAGCGAGAGGGGACTTGCTGCTCAGAAGGTCCATGGACGAGGCGAGGGGGAACTGGTGATTCACTGGCATGTTTCTGGGAAGACTTGCAAACTTTCCCGCAGCCATGATCCTCAAGTCTAAGAGGGGAAGAAGAGAGTGAAGCCATAAATCTAAGAAAACTATGAGAACTGACTTCCTCCTTACAAAAGGAAATGGAAATAGACCACATAACAAAAGAAAATGCTCACAAAGTGTTAAAGGATAAACATCACTTGTGAAATTTACTGTGATAGGAAGTTTACTTATCCCCCTTTTCATCCTACAGAGGAATTCTCCTGGTCTGGCAGCAGATCCACCAATGTGTGTGTGTGTTAGTCACTCAGTCGTGTCCAACTCTTTGCGATCCAGTGGACTGTAGCCCACCAGGCTCCTCTGTCCATGGAACTCTCCAGGCAAGAATACTGAAGTGGGTTGCCATCCCCTTCTCCAGAGGATCTTCCTGACCCTGGAACTGGACCTGGGTCTCCCACATTGCAGGCCATTTCTGTACTGACTGAGTCACAATGGAATAGGGCAAATACATTTCAGAGCCTTTAGAGACAACACGAGCCAGTTTATTACTTCAGATGACTGAAGCTGACGGAAAAGTGTGACTAACAAAAAAGAATACTGAGGAAGGATAATGAGCTCATGCATTCCCACCACCCTACAAGCAATAAGAACAGGTGAAAATGGCTGGAATTCCTTAGCTGCTAGGACGCCTTCAACCCAGCTCCCCAGTTGTACTACCCAGAGAGACAGGACAGATTGCTTCTGGTGAAGACCTGGTGCTCATAAATAAATCAATGTACGTAATTAACGAAGACGGTCAGGGTTCAGGAGGTGGGCCACTCTCCCACACATCAGTGGACTCAGCTGGAGAGGAAAGCCATGGGGTGGGGGCTCCATGCACAACTGTCCCCCCGAGGGGTCAAGGACCCGCCTATCACCACAGGGCTAAGCAACGTGCATAGGTGCCTGCGCAGTCAGGGAAGAGTGGGAAAGGCAAAAAAGAGAAAAAAAAATGGTCGAGAGCCCCATGGAAAGAAACGAAAAACGCTGTGTGTGAAAGCAGCCTTAGCAGTTGTTCCCAGCTATCACCACTAGCAGAGCATTCACCCTGAGCAGGGTTAGTACCTCTATCCTCTCAACAACCACTATGGCTTTGATCTAAGCCAAATTAAATGATATTTTAAAGGTCAATATAGGGCTTCCCTGGTGGCTCAGTGGTAAAGAACCCACCTGCCAATGCAGGAGACACGGGTTCGATCCCTGATCCAGGAAGATCCTACATGCCACAGAGCGACTAAGCCTGTGTGCCGCGACTACTGAGCCTGTGTTCTAGAGTCCGCGCTCCACAGCAAGAGGAGCCACCACAATGGAAGCCCAGGCACCACAACTAGAAGCAGCTCCTGTTCACCACAACCAGAGAAAAGCCTGTGCAACAGTGAAGACCCAGCACAGCCAAATAAGTAAAATTATAAAGGCGAATAAATGGAGAAGAAGAAACATAAGCTTGAATAAAAATTACGGCTACTCCCAGGAGATGGAGGGTTACAGAATCTGTACCCCTAGTCACGGTATTAGACTGATCCAGAGATCACAGCTGCACAGCTAAGCCCCATGCCCTGGCCTTCCCCGAGCCTGGTGAGGAACACACCTCTTCCCCCTGCAGTCCGCTCTCAAGCCGGGCAATCCCCGTTCCTCACAGACCACCCTCTCCCCTGCAAAGGGAGCGGTGCAGAGTGAAAACCATCACTCTCCAGCACCACTGCAGGCAGTGCCACAAAGGACCTGGGGACCTGGGACTTGGCTCGGGGACAATCAAGAGGAAGAGATTCTGGTAGAATAAGAGGTGGAACCAGAGCAGTCAGCAGAGTACGCAGAGGAAACAACTGACCACACACACACACACACACACACACACACTCAGTCCACTGTTCCCACACGGGACAGAGACAGACACTGAAGTGCTGGGTGGAAGGAGACCCTTCATTTTAGGCGTATAATCTGAACCCCGTCCTCAGTTTTCAGCCAGACCTGGTAGTTCTGAAGCCCGTCTGCTCCATGCGCAACTGGGACCACACAGAAGGCCCGGCTCCCTCCCAGCGGGTGCAGACAATGGACTGTCAGTCCCCGTGTGGGCCCCTCCCGGGTCTGGCCAGTACCTGGCCCACTGTCAGCACTTGTTTCATGTTAATCATCATTATTAAAAAAGAAACCAAACTCCTCAGCCCTCTCCTGAACATGGGTGACGTAAGCTGGCTAGGATTCCCTCATCCCACCCGTACACATTCACAGTTATGAACTCTCACCTGTCCGCGTTATCAGCACCTTTCTTCTCCACAGACAGGCTTGGATCAGTCCCAAGAACCTGGTGGGCAGACCCAAAGCCCCACCCCGCATCCCACAGAATCTCTTCGTATGCAAAGGCCCATAGTGTTGATCATGTCTATCTCCAGGCTAGGATGACAGACAAGAGTTACACCGGCTCCAGTGTCTCCAGCAGCCTGTTTCCTCTCTGCTTATCCAAGGTCTATCTATTTCAAGTCTGAGCCAAAGTGCTTTAGAATGCCCTTCAGCAAGTTATCCACACCTCAGTGTATTCTCGAGGGATGTTAACACCTGCTTTTCCTACTTTCAACTCAACAAACATTTAAGTGCCCACTCCAGATAAGATACTCACAGAAACAAAGATGCATAAATCTCAATCCCTGACTATGAACTCAAAGAGAATACAGTTGACATTTGAACAACTCAGGGTTAATCTGAATGTAATTTATAGACAGGCCTCTGTATCCACAGTTCCCCCACATCTACAGATTCAACTGACCATGGACTGTAGTATTTACTACTGAAAAATATCTGTGTATAAGTGCACCTATGCAATTCTACACGCCACCCCCACCCCCACTTTGGGTGGCTCAGTGGCTAAAGAATCCACCTGCAATGCAGGAGACTTGGGTTCGATCCCTGGGTCAGGAAGATACCTTGGAGAAGGAAATGGCAACCCACTCCAGTATTCTTGCCCGGGAAATCCCAAGGATAGTAGGAGCCTGGTGGGCTAACAGTCCACAGGGTTGCAAAGAGTCAGACACGACTGAAGGACTAAACAACAACAAAATGACAAATGCAGTTCAAACCTGTGTTGTTCAAGGGTCAACTGTAATATAATTCATTGATGGGACCCTTAAGATGCTGGAGGGAAGAACAATTAATTTTGATCAAAGGGCTTAAGGAGGATCTCAGAGAGGGCATCACTGGAGATGAAGGATTTTGAAAGACTGGAAACTGTAGGGAAAAGCCTTCTAAGATGATGTGGTAACAGCAGATGCATAAAGGCGGGAAGTACCCGCACAAGCTCAGGAACCTAAGTTGTGCAGTGAGGCTGGAGTGAAGCTGAGAAGCACCTCCTGGAAGAAGCACAGCTTAGGACCAGATCACAAAGTCTTAAAGGGTGTGTTGAGGTGTTTGAACTTGACTGTCAGTGCTAGGGAAACTCAGGAAGAGATGGATGGAGTCCAGTCTGTGCCAGGGTAGGCAGCTCTGGTGATTCTGGAGGGGAGAGAAGGGCCGTGGGCAGGTCAGTCAGGCACCAGCAACAAGCCAGGAAGGAGTGATGAAGGACTCCGACCTGGGACAGTGGCCACGGGAAGGGAAAGGAAGGGCAGAGTGAGGGGCTAAGAGCTCAAGGCCTCTTGTATGGGAGGAAGGAGGCCACGGCCATGGGAGGATGGTGCTTTGCTGTAACACACTCAGTAACACAAGGGGTGACCCCCTCAGGACAGAGGGTAACAAGCTCACCACTGGGGCTGCTGAGTGTGAGGTACCAGTAAGACAGTTCTGTCTCGCAGTCTAGATACTCGTATGTTCAGTTGGAGGCCAGTACAGAATGTAGATTTTCAAGAGTCATCAACATAAAGGGAGTATTTAAACCAGAGAGTAGATCCCTCAGCTTGTTATTATCAGATGTGATAACAGATGTGAAAGTACCTCTTAAACTGTCAGGAACCATGCAATATTCCATGAATTATATCCCTGGCCTCTCTCACCTGGACTGCTTCAAGCCTATAAGGACCAACGCCAGGGATGAGTTCTAAAAAAGCGGAGGCTCTCAACCTGGATGCACATTAAGAGTCCTCGGAGAAGCTTCAAAAATTCTGACACCCAAGCCGTGAACCAAACCAATGAAGTCACAGTCTCGGTGAATAGGACCCTGGCATCAGTCTTATCAAAACCCTTGCAAGTATCATTCAATGTGGAACCAGGTTTGAGAACCACCAGGTAAGTGAGTTTCTTTGGTACAGAGCAACTGACACTCAGATTACTTTCTGGGTAACAGAAAAGAATGACAAAGAGGAACAGTCAGTCAACAGGAGCATTCACTAATTCTTCTATCCAACACACATCTAATGAGGGCCTCCTATGTGGTGGGCACTGGGTGGCTGTTGGGGATGGTGTCAAACAGGTGTCCTCATGAGGTTCCTATCCTATGGAGGAAGCAGACAGTAAGTAATGACCTTATGTATTGGTGAGTCCCCAGGCTATGGGGGCACGCAGAATGGGAACTGGGGTCTAGATGAATCTAGCAGCCAGGAAAGGCTTTCCTGAAGAAGGGGTACTGACCCGAAGGCCGTGAAACAAAGTTTAATAATGGGAGGATGAAGATCATTCTAGTTGAAGTTTCCCGTGTTACAGTTAAACTTCTCAGCTGCAGATAAATTGGAAATACACAGGCCAGGCTCTTCTCAACAACCTGTTGCCTCTAACTTGGGACTCTTCCCCATTAAAATATAGCCTCGTCCTGTGACTAGTCACTGGGAAAGACTGGTTTCAGCCTGGGTCCAATGTCAAGGTTGAATCAATCCAACGGTGAGGGCGGTGGGCCCTGGCCAGAGACCCAACTTTATAAAAACAAACAACAACAAACTAAAGTGGGGTGGGGAATGGAAGGGAGAACTACAGGTGGAAGAAACTCATTTGCAGTCTGTGGAGTCTGAAACTCATTTGCTCTGTTTCCTACTTATTTTTATTTTTTCCAGACTCCAGGAACCTGGGGGAAATCCAGAGGTGGAAGTGATGGAATCTAGGTTCAAGG